GAGATAGAAAGCGAGAAATCACCCCCCAGGGGGGATGGCCACGCCGCAATCCCTTCTCCTCCATTCTCCTCTCGGGATCTTGGGCACGCATGCACACGCACCCGGCATGAGTTTAAGCCACCGGGTCAGGGACTCGAACTGCAGTCGACTACGTGGGAGTCCAGCGACATAGCCATTACGCTAACTGCTGGTCCCCCTGGTATCTTTTTATTAGGTATTTCCAGGCTCTGCCCCATCCATAGGATATAGAGCATCCCTGAGTGATGACAATACAGCAGTGTCCCCTTACCTGAGGGCACACAGCCCAAGACCCCCAGAAAACTGCATTTATAAAACGTGCTTTTCCTATGCATACACAGGACAAGGGGAAGGATTTGTAGGTGTTGGGGCTCATCAGAAATCCCCAGTGTAGGCAGCTGCCCTCCCCACCTGTGGGACTATGTGGGTGCCCCGAGTGGGCTGTGGCTGGCTTTGCTGCCTGGCACCCACAAACCATGAACCAGGACACAGTCCTATTCCCCGTGGGCCCCCAGAGAACTGGGAGACATGGGCTGCCCTACAGAATGAGCGAGGGCTTTCCTTCCCGCCGTATCTCTCCGGCCCTGAGACGTGGCATGCGTATGTGGAACCAGATCAGCCACGTGGTCCTGAGCGTGGCCTGTGGGATCCATGAAGACTGAGGCACGGCCCGCCTGTCACTCACCACCAGGCCTCCTGGGACAAGCTGGTTAATTTCTCTGAGTCTGGCTGACTCATCTTCCAAGTGGGGAAAAAGTACAGCAGAACTGGGGCCAGCAGATAGCATAGTGGTTAAGGTGCTGGACTCCCACCTGGCTGGCCATGGTTCGAGTCCTGGAGCCAGCAGCTTGAAAATTACGCTGGGGGAGTATGCATGCATGCCCAAAATCTCAAGAGAAGAATGCAGGAGAAGGGACCATAGCATGGCCATCCCCCAGGGGGTGATGTCCCACTTTCCTTTTCTCTGTCCCACTCTCTCTCCAGCAAGTACATGTGCCCTATGGCAAAAAATCTAAAACAATAAAAATATCATGCAGCAGAACAGAGTAGATGCAGTGTGGGCTCTCAGTCGGAATGCCCAGGTTCAAATCTAGCCTCCACCCTGCCCAGCCATATGACCCAGACAGTGACTCAGATCTCCGTGGTCAATTTGCTGTTGGATCAATTGCAGATGGTAACAGCCCTTCCTCACAGGGCTGCTGGGAAGATTAAATGAGAAAATACCCGAGAAACACTTAGAGTGGTGCTGGAACGTAAATGCCATTTAATAAATGCTAGTTATTATTATTACTTGTATCTTTCAAGCCCAGCTGAAGAAACTCCTCGTTCTAAAAACCTTCTGCCATTGCCCCCACCCCATCCGCCCCGTGGGAGCCAGCCCACCAGCCTGCAGCTCCATCGTCTGCCTCTTCCCAGCCCTGAGTCCGCCCCAGCCCCGCCCTGAGGGCTGGTGCCTTCTAGACGGTGAGCTCCGGGAGCTGGAGGCTACCCTGCCCTGTGCGTGTCCAGCACTGTGAAGTGCTGGCACAACGCCGGTGCTCGGTGACCGTCACACTGTCAGTAACAAGCACGTGGCTAACTAGATGAATCCCCGCCTCCTACTGAGCACTGCCTCTATGTCCGGCACCATGCCAAGCACTCCACAGGCACTAGCCTGGGCCCTCTCCATAATCCCACAAGAGGGCTAAGACTCACCCCCATTCGTACAAAGGAAAGTTGAAGTCAGTGGGTTCAAGCAGCTTTCGCCAAGTGGATGTGCCAGGATTTGAACTAGATGTCACAGTTCTGGTCCCTTCCTTTAAACCAGAGTCACCACATGTTTCCTCTAAAGGAATAGAGGGTCGGCATTTTCACGGGGCAGGCCAGGAGTCTCATGCAGCCACTCCACTCTGCCACTGCGTGGAAACAGCCACGCCCCTTCACAAGTGATGCAGACAGTGGGCGCGGCTGTCCCAGAGTTCTCTTTTCCCAAACAGGCAGCAGGCTGGGTTTGCCACCTCCTGTGTGACTCGCTGTGCTGTTCCTTTAGGTCTCTGTGGATGGCATCCCAGACCCTCCTGGAACTCCAGCTCTCCAACCAGAGCCAGCTGTCCCCTCTCAACACCACGTCCTGTGACAATGCTCGGGAAGCCTGGGACCTGCTACACCAAGTGCTACCAATTTTCATCCTCACCATCTGCGCCTTCGGCCTGCTGGGAAACCTGTTCGTCCTGTCCGTCTTCCTCCTGCTCAGGCGCCAGCTGACTGTGGCAGAAATCTACCTGGTCAACCTGGCAGCTTCCGACCTGGTATTTGTCCTGGGCTTGCCCTTCTGGGCACAGAACATCTGGAACCAATTCGACTGGCCTTTTGGGGACCTCCTCTGCCGCGTCGTCAATGGAGTCATCAAGGCCAACTTGTTCATCAGCATCTTCCTGGTGGTGGCCATCAGCCAGGACCGCTACTGCGTGCTGGTGCATCCCATGGCCAGCCGCAGGCGGCCCCTGGCCCAGCCGCAGGCGGCGGCGGCGGCGGCGGGCCCGGGCCACCTGCATGGTCATCTGGGCCGTGGGGGCCCTCCTGAGCACCCCGACGTTCCTGCTGCGATCCGTCAGTGCCGTCCAGGATCTGAACATCTCTGCCTGCATCTTGCTGTTTCCACACCAGGCCTGGCACTTAGCAAGGATCGTGGAGTTGAATGTGCTGGGGTTCCTACTGCCCTTGGCTGCAATCATCTTCTTCAACTGCCACATCCTGGCCTCCCTGCGAGGGCAGGGGGAGGTCAGCCAGACACGGTTTGGGGGCCCCAAGGACTGCAAGACCACCGTGCTGATCCTCACGCTCGTGGCTGCTTTCGTGGTCTGCTGGGCCCCCTACCACTGCTTCGCCTTCCTGGAGTTCCTGTTCCAGGTGCGAGTTGTGCAAGGCTGCTTCTGGGAGGAGTTCATCGACCTGGGCCTGCAGCTGGCCAACTTCTTTGCTTTCACCAACAGCTGCCTGAACCCGGTGATTTATGTCTTCGTGGGCCGGCTCTTCAGGACCAAGGTCTGGGAACTGTACCAGCAATGCACCCCGAGACGGCCAGCTCCACTGTCCTCCTCCCACAGGAAAGAAGTCCTCCAGCGTTTCTGACAGACTTAAATCAACAGTGAACTGAGAAGCTTGGCTTCCTTAGCAAGTGTTTCTGACACTATAAATACTATGGTAACAGGCTGGAGAGTGACCCCCTACACACACACACAAGAATCAAAATATCCAGGCCTGAGCCCTGGAACTTGTGTGTGTGGCATTCCATGGTAATGGGGGCTTGGCAGATAGGATTAAACTGAGGATCTTGAGACAGGGAGATGACCCTGGATTCTCCCGGGCTCAGAGGGAGCAATATAATCACAAGGGCCCGGATAAGAGGGAGGCAGGAGGGTCAGACTGAGGAGATGGAAAGACAGAGAAGTCAGAGTTGCAAGACCTCAGGCGGAGGAATGCAGACTCCCCCTAGAGGCTGGAAAGGGCAAGGCAATGGCGTCCCCTCTGAAGCCTGTAGGAGGAACCAGATCTGTTAACCCTTGACTTCAGCCCACTGAGGCTGGCTTTGGATTTCTAGGCTCCAAAACTGTGAAATAATAAACCTGTGTTGTTTTAAGCCACGTTTGTGGTAGTTTGCATGGTGGCAACGGAAAACTGATGCAGGTACCGGTAAGGGTTACATTTCATGCCTTGTGTCCATCCAAAATGTCCAAAGCTAACCGCTAGGACAGAGGTGGTGGGGCTGGAGCTCCCGTCTGCCAGGAACTTGCGCAGATCTGAATCTAGTTCCGAAAGCACCATGGGCGCTTTCCTGAGCGTGCTCCAGCTCCAACATGAGTGCTCAGAGAAGGCCGGGTGCCCTCTCGGGATACCAGAGGAGGCGCTGTATGTGTTGGGGTGGGGAGGAGTGCCCACTGGAGCGAGGCTCAACGAAGCAGGGAAGCTGGTACCGAGTGGGGAGGAGGGCTGGTGGGCATCACCACGACTCGGTGGGGAGCGAGGCTGCTCAGGAAAGGAGAGCGTGGGGGTTGTGGTCTCCGTTCACCGTGTCGCCGCCCTGCTGGCTGCTAGGCACCCAAGCAGCGAACTGCCTTGTCTCTGCCCCTCCAGGCTCATGGCAACAGGCAATAATTAGGAGGGGTCTAGGGCAGGAGAATGGCCACCACCAGGGTGAGAGAAGGGACTATGAGAGCAGGGAGGGCATCTGGTCTGGGTAGAGAGAGACTTGGAGGGGCAGACAGAAGCCAAATCCCAAAGAACAGGCAGTTGTCCACACAAAGTGGGGAAAGGAGAGTTAGAAGACATGACCTGGACCCAGGCATGGCCTCGGAGGGCTGAAGGCAGGGCGTGGTGCCGGGAGGAGGAGAATGGCTGTGCTAGGAGGCGCTGCAGGGGTTAACGGGTTGCAGGAAGCAGGAAGGTGCCTGGGGGGTCCCAGGGCCCACTACTGCTGGAAACCCAATTCTGTCGATGAATGTCTCCAGCAGTGCTCGGCCACCCAGACTAGGCGGACAGCAGGACTGCACGGGAGCTGGAGTTCTGTCAGAGGACCGAGTTCAGGAGGTAGGGGGGCCCACTGGGCTAAGGGACAACCAGTGGGAAGGAAGCGTGCATAGGAAGTATGGAGGGAGGGTGGCATGGCTCATTAAAGGGCACGCGCTGGGAGCGCCCAGATGATGGAGCGAGAGAGGGCTGGTCCCCATGGCTGACCGCGTTTTGGGCCTTAGCCTGGGGCTTGAGAAACACCAGGTGCATGTGCGAGCCTCAGATCCCGACAGGAAGGAGCAATGGAGAAGCGTCTGAGATGTGACTGTGCCCCACGGGGTGCTTCCTCTGCGGGCACTTTCTCCCTCTCTCTCTGTCTCCCTCTGGGGGGTGCTTTCTCCCCTCTCTCTAGTGAGCACACTTGCCCTCTGGTAATTTAAAAAAAAAAAAAGGAGGAAGGAGAGGACATGGCC